AAAAAAAAACACTTTTTTTCAGTTTAATTAACGTTTGTTAACTTGCATATATTTCTACTCGGCTAGCAATTTGTACCAAGTCTTATTCAGCAATGCTTCTTTCGTTTCTGAAGAGTTATTATTATTTTATTTTTATTTGTGTTTGTAACTACTTTCTTTAATTTCTACTGCTACTCTGCAGACAATTCCTCTTGTTCATTTCTGAAGAATGGTTTTTCCTTGATAACAACTATTAAAGTGAAAACTTTTGTCAGCTATGATTACAACACTTCAATCGGCTTCACTTTTGAGCATTTCAACTTTAATCGGCTTACGCTCGTTACCAATATTCCACATTTTATTCTCATCTTGGTTGTCGTTGAGATTCTGGCTTGGGTTTGAAACTGTTGTAGAGCTACCTCCTGTCAACTTTGAAAAGTCTATTTATAGAGTACCGATTAACAGTACATAAAAAACGTAATGATGTTTAATCTGCAAAACCACATTTTGTTTTCTTTTAAAAAGTATACCTGCAGCTATAGTTTGGTCCTCTAAAATCGCCTAAAACTACGTAAAGATCTGGAGTAACATCTCAATTTGTTTTACCATGTTTTCTCAGTAGAACATCGTGCTATTTCTGCTAATACTTCTTAAAATACTTACACTTGCTCTTACACGATTTACAGTTGTTTACTAACTACTTTTACTAAATGCTTACAAAAACAACTATGATTATAAACGTATTCTTCGTTTATTCTGAACTAAACGCTTTAGCGCCACTATTCACTAATCTTAAACTCAAATATCTGTAAAATTAGAACATTATTTACTTGATAATTTTGTGTGTTTTACGTCTGACAAGCTTTGTTCTTCATTCACTAAATCTTTCTTTCAATAAATTAGAAAGTTCAAATTGTAGTTTAAAAATCGTTTGGGTAGGTTTCAAGCAAAAAAAGCAGATAATTAAAAAAGAGCTCAACACTATACAAAAGAGAGACGCATACGCAATAACGCTGCCACAAAGATCAGGAATTTGATTCAGAGACGTTAGGCTGAAGCCCTGTAAAACAAAAATTGCCGGTTGATTTTTGAGATTCTGTAATGAATAAAATCATTTGGTAAACTCTTTTTCTGCTTAAATACGTCATTTTCAATTTATATCTCTTTTTTTTCAATTTTGACAAGCCAACAAACTTGTGACTGAAAATATATTACTTATTAATCTGTTTGGTTAGGTAGAAATGATCTTTTTTATTGTAGGAGAGCAATTTTGATTTACCAAGTATTCAGTGTAATCAATTTATTTTCTGAATCAGAATCCTCTTTTTCATTTCTGGCATCAAAACAGCCAAAAAAATGACGTCATTTTCCAGACTTCTTCACTACTACAGTTGTACATCGTCATTGAGTTGTAAAAGACCACGTTACCAAAACACAGTACTGAAACTGTTCACTCAGCAAGCTATCGAGTGTCTTTTCTCCATTAAACCATTTGAGATCTCTATCTTCTCAATCTTACCATCAGTCTATCTACATGAAAATATTACTTCATTTAAGAATATAAAAACTTCACTTGTTTATTTTCATTTGTTTATTTTCGTCACACTCGCTTAATTATGAACGCATTGAAGAGTTATCATATAGCGTCAAAATACATCAATATTTGGCCAATTTTACCCTTGTCAAAATCTAGCTGACTGTTTAGCACCTTATTTAAACTTTAATGCAGTAAATCTGAAGTTCTTATAAAAAATGCTTTAGTGATAGTGACAAAACTATAATTACTAGAACTGCTTAAAAATTGAGTTTTGTTTGTTCTTTTAATAAAGTATTGGTTTAAAATTCTAGACTGAATTACCCAATTTTTGCATTTATTACTACATTTTTTTACTGTGCGTATAGAACCAAGTTTCTGATTAAGCTTTAAAAAATTACTAACTGTTAATGCGGCAAAAAATTTTATACCAAAATTAAATATACTTGCATCTGATTTTTCAAAACTACTTGACGTAATTTTAAAAAAGATTTTTAAACATTACTTTTTCAAATTTGAAAAATTAACAGTTTTTTGTGGGAGTATGCTATCGAGCGACAGGCATATTGAGTGTAGAACTTAATTGTAAGTTTAAGTGTCTGAGAGGAAAACAAGAGTAGGCTGTACAGCAAAATTAAGGCGTGGTACAACTTTGTCACAAGTAGTTTTTCTACTGTTAAACAAATAACCATTTTTTAAAAACTTCAGCACTGTCATCCTTCTCTTTTCTAAAGCAGTGGTTGTACAAATGGTAGGCCGTATACAGCAAAAATATGAGTGAATAAAAAATAAAAAACGTTGCTGTGGAACTGAGTTGTTTCATTTTTCTGAGATAAGGCAGTAATTTAGGAGCTTGCAAACTTCAAAAAATTAGTAGTCGTTGAATTGAAGTACACAGTGTGTAGTTAAAGTAGACCAGTCTTAGAGCAAAGCTTTTTGTTTGTACTTTATTCCTCGTCACATATTTGCCTCATTGCTGTGGATGTACTGCCCTGCACTAAAAGCCAATTTGCTCTTCTTGTTTCCATCGATCTTCAACGTCTGTAAGTTGTCTTTTATCACGCACTGATTTCATACTTCCATAGTATTTTCTCACATTTGATTATTAAAAAAACTAAATAGTAATTACTTTAAGCATTAAAAAGTAGTCATATGTTTCAGTTTATGGTAATTTATACTTGAGAATAAAGAAACTTTAAAAGAATACTCGAGAAAGGTAAAAACTGCAGTTGACCTAAAACCTATAAGATACTTTTGGAGCAGAGCTGTTTCACTAACTTTTTTATTGTTAAAAGCATATAAAAGACTGCTTGTACGAAAAGATAAATTTAGTGATTCTGGTAAACGCTGATTTACCACTGAAATGTGAGCAACAACGCTGCCAAAACGGTGGTACCTGTTTCTTGACACTAAGTTAGTTTTTTTGTTTACTAATTTTTATTTCTTGTATAGTTGATCTAAGCCTAATCAAGCACTTCTATAAAGCAATAAGTATAGAAAAAGTTTTCCTCTTAAGTTATTCAAATGCTGTTGAATAGTTCTAATCACCACTGTTCTGCTAAACATTTGAATTATTTAAATGTAAATTTTTTAAACTGTTAATCTTTTACTTTTTTTTTGCTATTTTTAAAAAGTAAGTCAGTCTTCTTCTTTTTTTTGGCTAATAATCTCTTTTATAAATATTTTCGTCAGACACCTACGCTTAGCCAAACTTTTACATAAACAGTTCCTTCTATCGTACTTTGTCTCGCTTAAACTGAATACTTTGAACCGCTAATAACACTTAGCAGTTGACATAAAAAACTACCAAACAGTGACTGATATTATTCATAAAAATTATTACTGACTTAGTGAAGCTAAAATTTTCTGCTGTTGTTGAAAAATTTGCATATTTTTGCAGAAAGATCTGTTTAACTCACATTTTTATTAGTTCATTTTTACGAAGCTTTTTAACTGCTGTAACAAAAATGGTCTTACAGGTTTATTTTTTACATCACTCTGAACATTTATTCACGACTCCTCTGCTAATTTAAATTAATGTAGATTCTTTTTTGAATATTTAAGTCATTTTTAATATTTTTCAGCAGGAAATAAAGTAAACGTGTTTAAAACTTAGCATTTTTATCAACATTTTATTTACTTATTTATTCTCTTTTTTTTGTCGCATTTATTTTTCAAGTTTTTTTTAGTTTTTTTGCAAAAAGTTTATCTTATTACTGCGTTTTTAATGGCGTTTATAATCACTTTTCTTTTCATTAATTTTTCAATTTTTTCTCAGTTTTATTCTTGTCGAAAAAAAAGAATATTTTTTAGAGTTTGTTAATACAGGTGACGTTATTTGGCTGTAAACTTAACTAATTGCAATCTTTTTTGGTCAAAAGGTATCAATTTCGGTGAAAGATCGACGAAACTGCTGAATTTCGTTGCATTTCCTGCATTTCCATGGTTCAGTAACTAAACAGTTGATTTTTTTTTGTTTTTTTGATTTTTAACTACGAACTGTAGCAAAAAATTTTTTGGTTTTTTTTTATAGCTCAAAACATTTTTGGCGGTAATAATGGCAGCAAAAACAGTTGAACTAAGAGTATTTTGCATAATTTTTGGCGATTAATTTGTTCCAGAAATAAACCGTTGAAGAAGTAACACCTCACTAAGACCGCTGATATTTTTTCAAAAAAAAAAAACAGCACTTTATAAGTCATAATTCTCATGTATTATATTTTTCTGGCAGCTTACATATTACAAAGATAGTCGTTTGTAGTTTTTCTTGCTGATTCAACAGTACTGGTTGATTTCTATTTTTTGATACCTAATGTTCCAAAAAAACGATTTTTAAACTTTTTTTTTTTTTTGCAAATTATCAGTTTACTCAGTTTCTACAATACCGTCTATAGTTTGGTTCAGAAGTGGCAAAAAAAAAAAAAAAACTTTGATACATTACTCAGTAATGAAATTACGGCAAACATTAGTAATAAGACATTTTTTCTGTCTGTTAAGCTGAAGCGTATTTATCTGAAGCGTATTCTTCATTTTTCAATTCCAGGTTAAATTATAGCTTAAAAAAGAAATCTTAGTTTTTTTCTTCAGTTTATTTTATTTTATTTTTTTTTTTTTTGAAATAATTAAAAAACTAAGAACTTTCTTCACAAAATCACTTCTGTTGTTGTTGCTGCTGCTGATACTGATTAAACAGATACAGTCACAC